CAGACGTTTCCGGTTTCGTCGGCTCTCGATCTAGAGCAACTTTCAGCGAACCGCTCAGACGAAGAAGACGCGCCTCCTATGGCTGAAACTCCTCTAACGGATTTGCTTCTACACTGCGATCATTTCGACGAAGATGAGGCTACTGCGTCGGGTACAGTGACGAAGCGCCAGACATCAGCTCCATTAAAATGCAAGGTTACGTGAACCGAGTCCTCAAGGTAGCAAGCGCACGGCAAGAAAAGGCTGGCGTCTCAGCAGGCCTTTCTTCGCATTCGTTTCGTCGAGGTGGTGCTCAGTATGCTAACGCGAATTATTCTCTGAGTGCGCAGTGGATATTCGACCGAGGTAGTTGGAACATGACTGCCACCAACAAGACGTTTGCCTACGTATTCAACACGACGAGTGAGGACAGAAAAGTATCCAAGGTACTCAGTGATTGGAGGTCTGATGACTCCCCAACTATACCTTCAATATCCAGCTTGATTCAGGTGTATAAGCGAAAATACGGACCCTTGGTATTTGCTTCAAGCTTGGCTATGGATGACAGTACCTTGGTTGTGAACCAACAAGTCGCTGATTTGCTCATCGCAGCTTTGGTGCAGCACTATCCAGAAGTCAACGATAGGTACCCAATGAGTCCCTATGTGTCTAGAATGCGTCAATGCCTTTTTGCGATCCAAGTCGAAATGTCCGAGCTCTTAGCGTGGAGCGTGCACCTAAACCATCAAGGAAATCAACCTACCACAGAGCAAGAAACATCGTTCACACCAGATATTCAGTTCATGAATCACCAGAACGCAGTTATCGCACAACTCATTGAAGAAAACAAGACCCAAGCCAGGCGCATTACCGAGTTGGAGAAACGGATGTCGGGTGGGGTTACTATTTCGAGTGCTGATACTCGTCAGGTTTCTCAGACCACGCTTGGTGTTGATTCTAGTACGATCAATAACGTCAAGTTAGTTAAGTTGAAGCTACGCTCAGCTTCGAAGTCTGCAGCAGCTACTTGGTTTGAATGGTACACAAGAATCCCACGTCTTTGGGAAGGCTGTGGTGATCTCAGTACAAGTCACAGTCCAAGCAAATAGTCAACTTCATGAAGTTGTGCTTACCTCATGGATTTACACTCGATCCATCCTCATCTGGGTATAGTGGCCGAGTGATGACAGTTGGTAATACTGCCGAAGCCAACATGAAAGCTTTCCTTCGAGGGAGAGGCATGAAGAGCAAATTGGGGTCGGGGCTTCTCAAACAACTCCGTCTGCTTCATCGTAACGGCGCTCTAAAAGAGGTCATTAGCAATACCGAGCTCGCTTCTCCGTTGTTCAAATTTGCGATCCTGCACCAGAGGAAACGAAAGACTTCGCATAGTTAAAACGCTTCGTCAAATTTGGAATCTTTTCTTGGGATGACTTTTTGGGCGTTGCCGTTGCATTTTTTTTAAGAATGAACCGCATTTGAAAACATAGTTAGTTTTTCAAAAATAACCATTTTCAATTCGAGCAACTTACCCACTTCAGGTTTTACTACGAAGGTTGCAACGACACAGTTTAGTCGCAAGGGGTTTGAGACTGCGGTCAGAAGTTGCATTAGACTTAATTTTCCTAGAGCAAGAATTACAAGTGAGGCTCTACGGTACCTCCTCCTTGACCTCCGCGCTGAAGTCTCCGAGAACATCGGCTTCCCTAGTGTCTTGGTCGCTACCGTCGCTGCACTTCTGAAGCTGGCTAGACGGCGTATTGAAGGCCGTCACGTCCTAGCTTGGCGCTCGTCGACGTGGTGAGAGACCACACACAGCGCAAATTCTGAACATGACCGAAGCGATTTTACCGATATCACCCAGCGTCGCAGAGGAGAAGTCTTCGTCGATGAACTCGACAGCTACAAACACTGTCCCCGATGCGAAGCCATCCAGAGGAGAAGAAGCTGCCCAAGCGAAATCGTCAAATCGAGAAGAAGCCGGTGAAGGAAAGCCATCCAGAAGGGAAGAAACTGCCGAAGAGAAATCGTCCGAACGAGACGAAGCTGCTGAAATGAAGCCATCCAGAGGAGAAGAAACTGCCGAAGAGAAATTGTCCGAGGGGGAAGAAGCCGCTGAAGAGAAGCCGTCACCGCGTGCTGATAACGTGGTCGATCTCACTTTGACCGACCAAGAGGAAAGCGATGACGCCTTTGGTCGAGCAGGCCTTGGCACCTCCACCAGCAGCAGCGACAGTGAAACGGAGTGGCGACCGACAGCGTCATTGGCTGCTCCACCGGTGTATGACATCCGTCGCATCACGCACTCGTACAGGCGGAACGGTCGCCGAGTATAAGTCGTTAATTGGGAGGACACTGAGGAACCAGCCAGTAACTTGTCGCACCGCATGGTTGCTGCCTTCGAACGTCGACGTCGCGCTCTAGTTCGGCGCACCTTCATCGAGGATGAGACAGGAGGTGGTCGCTTTACTGCGTGGTGTCTTCGCTGAGGTGCCTGCGTACAACACAGAAGGAAAACAACAACAACAAATAGTAGTTTGCATACTCCCTTCTTGGTATTGCCGTAGATAAAACGTGAAGCTGCCACGACATCGCACAGCAAGGTTTCCCTGCGAAAGCAAGACACCGAGCTTGACACGGTCTCACAGTATCACGAAACAGCAAGGTTACGCCGTTAAGCACACCGAGCTTCCTACAAACACTAGTGCATTACAAAAAATCGTTTTTAGGAACCATCGATATACAAAATCTAAAGGTGAGGCTTACCTGAATCCTGACGCCCACTGCACGCCTGCGCCCGCTCCACGATTGCCTTACTCTGTTTCAAACTGGTTCTGTTTGTGTCTGTGGTCTGTGTCCTCGATGCCTCTACCGAGGCGGATCCACCAATAGAATTTTTGTTTCTTTTTAGCCAATAACTGACCTGTCGCCTGGCGTCGGCGGCTGTCGGCCAAATTACGCTATGGTAAGATAAGTCGGTTACGTAAAGCGGGGAGAGAGAGAATGACGCTATCGAAATAGCCGCAGCAAAATTACTACCCGTCGCTGCCCCGTTTGCCTTTGAGTTAACAAAATCCGGGACCTCTCGCACCCAAAGCGAGAATCATACCACTAGACCACTAGGCCGCTAACCTAGCCTCAACACAAACACTTGTCGCGCATACTCCCAA